ACTCTACAAAAAGTGCTGACGCTGCACTATCCCACGGGTCAGTCGTTCAACGGCTCTTCAACGGCGGTTGGCAATGTTCAACGGCGGTTGGCAATGTTTTGTTCTTATCACGGGCCGAGGCGCTTTTGCTTTAGCGCTGATTTTGTGTGTTGACATTGCTGTTCGCTTCGGTGCCACTTGTTCGTAATTGACCGTGTTTCGCGTTAATTTTGAGTGTTGACCAAAATTTCACCAGTGGTGTGACCTAACCACGCAAGGATGCGTGTGAGTCGTGGTGCCCGGCACTGTCGTGTTCTGGATTTCTGATTGACGAATTGTGACACCGTGTTTTCATGAAAGAACTGTCAGTGGTCTTGACACCGTGAGGTTAGCTTGTGACCGGGGTTAGGCGATAATTATGGTCAAGGACTTACCGTACGGGTGATTAATCACGGTCGCCAGTTGTTTTAACCGCCAAACAACAAGGATTTCCGGAATGAGTCCTTCTGGATCCTCCTTCCTGTCTCGATGGGAGAGGATATCACAAATAACTTTACACACAGTACGCAGTATTTATCAAAATATATATAAACACAGTTTATTCTGTTTTCACTAATTACACACGTCACACACGCGTTCCGTGTATTTACATAAGCGTATAATTTATTAAATAACGCAAACTGAGTCGCGGGAACTTTGGTATCAACGCACGTCGAATGATAAAGCGTGTAGCGCGTTTGGTTCTCCATGAACGACTGCTCTTAATGAGATTAATGATTATAATTACGTAAATGATTAAAACGTATAACTGAGCCGCGGGAACTTTGGTATTAACGCGCATTGACGAGAATGCGTGCGGCGCGTTTGGTTCTCCTGGAACGACTTCCCTTAATGAGATTAATGATTATAATTACGTAAATGATTAAAACGTATAACTGAGCCGCGGGAACTTTGGTATTAACGCGCATTGACGAGAATGCGTGCGGCGCGTTTGGTTCTCCTGGAACGACTGACTGCCAAGATGGCCGGGCTTTCTTCTCCACCACCTAAAGCGCGGATCACCCGTAATCGCGTAAGCGCACCTTTAGGTGTGTTCTTTTTACTATTCCCTAGACTCAGTTACTTTTAGGTGGGCGCAAACTAGTCTTGTTTTTACACTCCTCAGTGCTTGTTTCTTGCGACAAACACTTCGGACGTTCAATAATTAATTAAATAAACAATTTTTCTTAACTTACCGATTAATCATTTTTAACCCGGTGGATCCGTTCCTACTCATGCCAATATATCAAAAATGTTTATAATTTCGCTTAACTCTAAAACTTATCCTTTTACAAAAACTTTCGATTAACTATTTCTTTTATGATAAATCTTTTTTGTTTGATGTGCCCAATGTGAATATGATTTTTCTTAATAAACAATTTTTTCTAAATATATTACTTAAGCTCCAAAAACCAACTTATTTTAATTTTGAGTCTGTTTCATTCACCACCGTGTTCTTTTCAACCCTTAACTACATGTTTCATCCGAACCATGTGTATTGTCCCTTACTCGTTATAAATACTTTTTAAGACGTTTTATCGCTTTACCTCGACTAATTTGCATCCTCGGCACCTTACCTTGAACAACCCGAACGCTAAGGACCCTAATCACTTTTGTGACGGGATTAACAAAATGAAATAGGTTTAACGTATTTCCCTAGCGCTTGTACACGTCTTAAAGACCAACAAAGACTTTAACGGTCAACTATAAAATTCCGACACATAAACTAAAACAAGACCGTGACATAAAATAAAAATAAAACTAAACAAAAAGTTAAATAAAAACTCCACGCCTAAGGCGTCGCCTGGCTTACTGCCATCTCATCTGCGTGAAACACTTCACTTAATCTCTAAGTAAATTTTTTATGTGTTTCAGATCTTAACTACTCCTTGCTTCGCTCGCAACATTCTTGGTTATCCTAAGAATTTTTGTTCGTTGCGCTTTTAGTGGCTAAATTAAATGCAACGTGTCCATCTCACGTGGACACCCGTCATTAAAATGACGTTTCGTACAGGTAATCTTAAAACTATCGATTAACTTATAAAGGTAAGTAAACTTAAAGTACTTAAACCTAATGAACACGAATATAATAACTTGAACGCTTAACCTAATGTATTTACAGTTTTTGTTTCAGGTAGCCCTGGCGTACCCTACTTTATCAAGGACTTCACTTAGAATTGCTTCTGACCAGTACGTGGCCTCTTTTCGCAACTCGTCCTTCTCGTACTGTTTTTGTGCCTCCAGCAGTATTTGTTTCTCCAGTGCGAAGCTCCGCTCCACATACTGCAGCGCCCTGTCCTTCGGTTGGGCTTCTGACTCTGGTGACAAGCTGAGCATTTATTCAGCCGTTCGCCGATTGAAGATCACCAGCTGCTTCGCCTCAGAACATGATAAAGAGTAAGTGCGTCTTCTTTTTGTAGTTGCTGCTTTGAGCAGAGTACTTCAGAAAGCATGTCAATCCAAAAAAATCTTTTCTCTTTCATTCGGTGTCTGCTGACACTTTAGGTCATAATATACTTTTTGCTACTGGGTTTACTAATTTGGAGGTCGCCGTCTTGATAGTGACCACTCGTACTTGCCCGTCCTCTCTAGGATGCACCTTGCCGACTCGCGCTAGTGGCTATTTGGTAGGTGGAGTGTTCTCGCTTAACACGAGACAAAGGCGTCCTGGCTCAACATTCACTCTCCCAACTTGCCATTTCGGTCGTGAGACAAAATTTCGCAGATACTCCTTTGGCCACCGATCCCAGAAGTAATCGCGCATCTGCTGAAGGTGCTGCCAGCGTGTGAGACTACTGGTAGACGTAGTCTCAAGCAGCGTCTTTTCCGGGACGACGTTGAGCGCTGTACCTATTAGAAAATGACCTGGTGTTATGGCAGTTATGTCGTTTGGATCGTCTGTGAATGCCTGCAGCGGACGCGAGTTCAGGCAAGCTTCTACTTAGGTTAAGAGCGTTGCCATCTCTTCATAAGTTAGCGTAGCGTCACCTAGCACCCTTCTCAGATGATGCTTCATGGATTGGACGGCTGCCTCCTACAGCCCACCGAAGTGAGGAGCAGATGGCGGGTTGAAGTGCCAACGTACACGGTCCGCCGCCAATTGTTTGACAATGTCTTGCGCCTCCTTGCTGCTGGCCAAGAACAACGACTTCAACTGCTAATCAGCTCCCACAAAATTGGTGCCACAATCACTGTAGAGTGCCTGGCACAATCCTCTACGTGAGGTGAAGCGACGGAATGCCGCTAGAAAGGCGTGTAATCTGACGCCACGTCTAGATAAACGGCCTTTGTACTCATGCACACAAATACGACCACGAAGGCCTTGTAAGCTTTGTGGCCTCGCCCCGGTGATGATCGCAGCATGACTGGTCCAGCATAATTGACTCCTGTGTGTTGAAACGGTCTCGCAAGAGTGACTCGTTGCTGAGGTAAGTTTGCCATTAATGGTTGTTAAGTGGCCGCTTGCCATCGCACGCATACAACGCATTGATGTATGTGCTTCTTTACAGCGGATCCTTGCGAGATCCAGAAATGTTGTCCAAAAAGACCCAAGGTTTGTTGCACCCCTCCATGCAGTGTTTTCCTGTGACAGGAATCAATAATTAGTTTTGTAAGGTGAGAACAAGATGGTGGGATATTTTTCTTCATAGGAAAGAAAAGAATGTTTAAGCCTCCCGCCAACTCGCAGCAAGCCTTGACCGTCAATGAACGTGTTTATGCTAATTAGTGAGCTGCCTTTTTTCAGCGGTTCCCCCCTACGTATTGCTGCCACTTCCGTTTTGTACCTATCCGCCTGAACATTGCAAACCCAAACCCGTTGAGCCTCTTCCAGCTCGTCACTGGTTAAACTTGCTAGGGTTTTGCTTTGATGCTGAGCCGGGATGTTGAGTGAGTTTGTCGGTTGGTTTCGTGTCCAGCGTTTGCACCATGCCGTGACGCGCAGCAGCCGAGTCAACGTCGAGTGTCGCAGTAGAAGCTCTGACTCTGTCTCATCCTGCTGAGCTACTCCGGCCATGATCTTCCGGGTTTCAGGCAGGTCTGGCGTTGGTGTCGTTACCGTCGAAGCAGGCCACTCTTTGGTTGCTGTCAACCAGGATGGTCCTTGCCACCACAAGTTATGCTGAGTGAGATAACGAGGACTTACGCCGCAAGATGCGCAGTCAGCGGGATTTTCTGATCCTCGTATATGATGCCAGTACGCATCTGGCGTTAATCTTTGAATTTCTGCGACCCGATTGGCTACGTAGGTCTTCCACTTGGAGGGGTAACCTTGAGTCCATCCCAACGCCACGGTGGAATCCAGCCATAGATGTGTAGCGACTACCTGTAAACTCAAAGTTCTTGTGATATACGCGACGAGTTGTGCGAGAAGGGTAGCGGCGCAGAGCTCAAGTCGTGGTAACGAGATCTTTTAAAGGTGCGACCTTGGATTTAGCTGCCACTAAGGAGATGGCAGCTTTATTACCATTTGTTTCAGACCGTAAGTACATTACGGCTGCGTAGGCGCGCTCTCGGCCAGCAGGTCGGTGTGGTTTGCAGACCACTTTTTGAGCGCAAAGCCGCCCGCCTTGCACAGCGAAATTAGCTGTTTCTCGGGCTTCCTTGAAAATGTTTGATCCCGTTGAGATGTCGTCGACATAGACATCTCGTTGTAGGATTTCTGCTCCCCTGGAGTACCAGTGTGCCTCGTCATCTGCCAGCTGCTTCAAGGTGCAAATTGCTAAAAACGGGGCACATGCCAACCCATAAGTTACCGTGTTGAGCTGATACTCTGTGATCCGGTCATCGGGGTTGGCTCTCCACAGTATTCGTTGCAAGTCTCTATCTTCTAGGTGCACCAGAATTTGTCGATACATTTTTTTGATGTTGGTTGCCAAAACAAATTGATGCACACACCAGCGTAGCAGGACATCGGTCAGAGGAGGCAACAGATTTGCTTCTATTAGCAAATATTTATTTAAAGACTCACCACCGGGGAGCGTTTATGAGCCATTGAACACGACACGCAGTTTTGTTGTGACGCTCGCTTTGCGAAGAACTCCGTGGTGTAGAAGATAACACACCCTCATCCCTGGTTTAGTATTAGGTGGCTCAGTGGCTGACATATGCTCCAATTCAACATATTGTTGCATGAAATCGACGTACAGATGTCGCAGGTTTCCGTCGCGCGCGAATTTGCGTTCCATCTGCGTCAAGGATCGTAAAGCTGCGCTTCGCGTCGGTGACAGGTCAGCGAGTTCCTTTGCGAGCGGAAGCCGGACCACGTAACGACCTTTGTTATCCCGAAAATGCGTCTTCACGAACAAGTCTTTGCACCTTTGTTCGTCTTCAGTCAGCACTGAAGGCTTTGTCGAGATCTCTTCCTGCTCCCAAAATCGTTTAACTAGCTCTGTCAATGTTTCTGTTGTTATGCACTGGTGAACATTTGCTTGATTGCAAGCTTCGCCAGCGGTTAATGCCAAACTTCCCAATAGTATCCATCCTAATGATGTTTTTTGTGCCACAGGTTCCAAAGGACCGCCTTTCTGCACTCCAGTCGTCAGGATGGCTGCAAAAACATCTGCACCGAGCAGAATGTCAATTGGATCAGCGGCTAGGAACTCGGGGTCTGCCAACTCCAGATGTTTTAAGTGGCTCCACAAACGCGCTGTGACGTGAGGGCCGCCACTATAAGTAGTTAATTTTGGAAGCACGAGAGCAGTGATGGTGAAAGCCGAATTGTTGAAGTGAGGCATAATTCTCATTGTTACTTGGCCTCGTGCTATCCCGGTTTTATTTCCGCCGACACCTATCACTGCTACGTTTGTTTACGCGGCAGCCTCAGTTTTTGTGCAAATGCCTCGGATAAAAAGGACGTTTCCGACCCCTGATCTACAAGCGCGCGAGCGGAGTGCAACGTGCCGAATCGATCCGCGACGCGAACGCGAGCTGTTGCCAGCAAGATCGTCACCTGCTTCTCAGTGCGGTTCAGCGCGGCGTGAGAAGTTATCGCGTCGCCACTATCACTCTTGGCATCTCGAAAAGCGTCATGCAATGAAGTGTGATGACGCTCACTGCACGCCGTGCACGTTTTCTTGGACACGCACTTACTTACTTTATGCTTTTCTAAGCAGTTGATACAGAGTTTAGCTTTGCTAACGTGTTTTTTTCTTTCAGTAGCTGCCTTGCCTTTGAAGTTCTCACAAAACATAAGAAAGTAATCCTTGAGGCAAAGGGAGCACCGTTCCTTGGCACTCTTCTTACCGGCTTCTTTTGTGCTACGTGACTCTTGGTTTTATTTGGCGTGGAAGGCTTGCTTGGTGCGTCAATTCTTGCGTCCTTGACCGCTAACCGTCCATCGAGAGTCTGAAGGCGTCGCTGCATGAAGGTTTTCAATTGGTCAAACGAGGGTGGCTCTAAGCTATCGCTGATGTGGTCGTCTCACAGGTCTCTCGTGCGTGGGCCCAAGAGATCAAATATAATGTGAACAAATAAGTCCTTGCTGCTTGACACAGGCCGCTCGAGGTTCTCTAACGCATCGTGAATGTTGACGGTAGTATAAAAATTCTGCTTCAAGTCGACCGCGCTATCATTTTTCATTTTCTGGAGCGAGAGGAACTTGCTTAAATATGACCGCGTTAATAGCCGGGTGTTTTGATAAAAGTCTGTTAACTCACGCCAGGCTTTTTTGTAACTTGCTTTAATTGCTGGCAAGTTTTGTATGAGCGAGGCGGCTTCTCTCTGTACACATGACCGTAGATAATGCAGCTTTTCCACGGTTGGAAGCTGTTTGTTGCTGTCGATAGTGGATACAAAATGGTCGCGAAATGCTGGATAGTCTTCATATTTCCCGGAAAATTCCGACAACTTAATTTTTGGCAAAACGGTGCGACGGGAGGAACCAGCTTGATCTTCCACTGCTTTTCTGGCTTCGTCGGGCTTTGCTGAGAGCGAGCGTTCGTAATCCATAAGTTTACCTCTCTGCGCAAGGTAAGTTTCTTCAGCTATTGACATGAAGTCTTTAATGTGGTATTCTGTTTTTTTTAGTTCATTCTCGTAGTCGATTGGGCGTGTTCCGTTTGACCACAGTACGATTCGACACCGATCGATTCGACACCAAATTATTGGACACAAAATTATTGGACACAGATTTATT